TATGTGCGTATGTATATATATGTATGTATATATATGGACATATATGTACATGTACTTATTATATTGCCATATTATTACTCTATATCGCAGTTCCTATTACTTCCCGAATTGATCTAGAGAAATAACACCGATATAGGACAGTCGGACATGTAGAATATCAGGCTCCTTTGAATTCCTAAAGATACGTTTCATTTATAATATTACCAGAATGCTTAGTTCGCTGCTGCAATATAAAGCTTATCTCAGACTTTTAGAACAGCATCACACTCCTAATTCTGGTTTGTATGAAACTTTTTGCAATCGCGAGATGGGAGCTGAGACTTGGAACATCAACTATAGGGTTAAATCGACATCTGGAGGTCAATGTGATGCACACGCTCCACCAAAATGTATTACATAAAAAGAAACGATGACACGACCAATAACACAAAGAAACAGATGGCACGACCACCAACACAACCAACTGAAGAGCGACATACACTGCCCTTTTACAAAAAAAATTTAAAATCTTTATTCTTCAACACCAAATATATTGGATTCACTTTGATTGGTCATCGTTGTGTCATCGTTTCAGTCATCGATCTCAAAAGAATCCGACTCTCCTCCTGGTTGTTGGGACTATAGCATGCCCTCATATAAAATATAACAATATTTTCTTCCGGAGCAGTCTACTTGGTGTCATTGGGTGAGTGACCGCCCAACGTTGGGGTACTGTGAACAAAATGTGGAAATTAATTGCCTATACAAGATCATTCGCAATGGTACGATGGAAGGCAAACTCGATCATGTTAAATCCAAGTATGTACAAACTAAAACGTTCGTATTCATTTGCCGTGATTAGTATTAGAATTATCAAGCGATTATTGCCGGATCTTCGTACAAACAACCAAAGTAAGAAGCACAACACATACATGCATGTTTAAAAGATCGCGTCACTTACGGTGCTTGTAGAAGTTTACTGTGCTCTTTATCGAAAGGCCTTGAATTGACGGTCAGAGCAGCGTTAGTCATCAAATTCCTCACGATGGTGAAGCCTGTGTAGATAAATGCGATGCACGATTACTCTAGGAAATCATTTATGGGAAAATCTGGACATAGATGAAACATCCAAATTCCCTTCATACAAAAAAGATCGCAACCTTGGAGGGCCATAGAAAGAAACTGATATTCGGCGGCCGCAAAGTGTGAACATTTTGAAATTTATCGTCGAATATGTTGTGCAAAAACCACACAGATACTTACCAGCGAATCCGATGGCTAGGCCGACTGGTACCGCAAGCGCTGCATTTTTGATAAGATTGCGGGGGGGAGGGGGGGGGGGAATGAGAATGGGCTATATATTCGCAGGCAATCAGAAAGTAAATATATACAAGGTGAAAGACATGCGGATAGTACAGTGAGAGTGTGAAAAGCATTCGGGACGAACATATTACTTCGCAGACGGAGACATCTGTGGCGAATGAGGTCTTAACCACTATAACAATATGAAGAAGAAAAAAATGTTGAGTACAATAGTAAACATGTATAATCATGTACAACAATCAATAAATTTCCTGTGTGTCTCTTCATGCAAAAAGAGAAATTAGCTACAATCCACCCAAATTTGTAACCGAGAACATTTAGAGGATCTAAGTCTGCCACACTACTACTTACGGATCAACTCGGGGGTGTCCTTCAAGAATTTCGTTGCTTTACCCAAGTTGTTCATATTTGCAGTTGGAGATATATTTGAGTATGCAAGCTTGAAGATGAGATGTTACAATAGTATGTGTGCTTCCAAATGGTTCGTAGAGCTGTATTCATAGTAGAAATTTTTGTCTCCCTTGTTGTTCCCAATGTACCGTATTTGACTGAAGAAGTGCACTATCAAAATGGCAATTCCCCACCTTGATGTTATGGAAGTCTGGAACATCGCCAAACTCACCATGCCACTCCGAGGACGACTGTAGAAAATGCTATTATCAAAAAGAGTAAACCCCAAAATCATATCGGTCGAAATTCGAAATAAATACCTCCGTTGTGCTTGTCTTTATTTTAAATGTCACAATATTTGCTTTATGTAAATATACTGTTAGAAGGCTATGAATACACAACAAAAACATAGCCTTCTTGTATAATTTAGAAGGCTATGACAAAAACATAAATATTTTGTTTTAAAAAAAAGAAGAAACAAAAAGACGTTTGTCAGCATTCGTTTTTTTTTTTAAACATATTCTCGAAGATTGAAGAACAGACGAACACAACAGAAACTGTCCGAAACCTAAGGAAAAGAAAAGTGAAACGTGTACAAACGACTCTATTTTTTATATTTTTAACATTGGGTTTCTTTTGTCAATCTACATATTTATGTACACTGTACAGTAAATACATAAATAAATACATATATTATATATTTTTAACTCTCTATTTCTCGTTGGTTTTTCTTTTCTTTTTTTTAAAACTACAATTTTTAAAGTCCTCTAAAGTCCACACTCCACAGTTCCACACGAAGCTCGAAACTCGAAATGTCACTCGAAACTCGAATCTCGAATCTCAAATCTCAAATCTCAAATCTCGAAACTCGAATCTCAAATTATTTATGATATTTTTTGAAAACAAAAACAGCTAAAAAATAGAGATGTCCAGAGTGGCTGCGTGACAGTGTCTCTCTCTCGCGCTTCAACGACCCGAGTGGCCGAGTAGCCTTGTCCCAAGTCCCGAATGCCCAATTTTGATTTTGACCTTATAATTGATATACAACTATAAATTGAATAAATTTTTTTTTTTTAAACATTACCTACTTACGTATGACGTAGTAGGTATTAGTTATTACGCACTTGTGCTTTGCTGGCAGTCTGGCACTGGTCCCTGGCCCCTGGGCCTGGGCCGCAGCAAGCCCTCGGGCCTCAGCCCTGACTCTGTGTGAGAGTGAGAGTGAGTGTGAGTGAGTGAGTGTGAGCGTGAGCGTGTGTGAGTGAGGGTGAGTGAGTGAGTGAGTGTGAGCGTGAGCGTGTGTGAGTGAGGGTGAGTGAGTGAGTGAATGTGAGCGTGTGTGAGTGAGTGAGAGAGAGAGAGAGAGAGAGAGAGAGAGAGAGAGCGCGCGTGTGTGAGAGAGAGTGAGAGAGAGTGTGTGAGAGAGTGAGTGAGTGAGTGAGAGTGAGAGTGAGAGTGAGAGATTGAGTGAGTGAGTGAGTAAGTGAGTGAGTGAGTGAGTGAGTGAGTGAGTGAGTGAGTGTGAGCGTGTGTGAGTGAGAGAGA